AGACATGACGTGGGTGATCGACCATCCCCTAGCTATTTTATGGCGGAAAAGGTTCGGAATCTTAAATACCGAAATACCACGAGAAATCAATAGATATTTTGAATAAAGTGGCGTTTTCGTCACGCTTTCATTATATGCTGACTGATAGAACTATTTTCAGCCGTAGCTTCTGCCCCTGGAGCGCAGCGTGGAGGCCCGAGAGCGGGAGTGCCACCAGCACAGAAGCCTACTCCACAACAATTTGGTGAATACCTTTCAAATCTTCCCAGTCGAGCTCCTTTTCAGAAAAGTAACCTTTTACATTTCAGACACTCCTTATCCGGGCACTGCTTATCCGCCGGCGCAGCCAGCTCCTGATGTCAACATACCGCCACTAGAGGGACTTGAAGTAGCGGGTCCTCCCGCCACTGCGACTACCACGACGCCGGCGTCAGCACCTTCGGCAACACCCACCACTACTGCCACTGCAACTCCTGCAACAACGATTGCAACGACGGGTCCTACACCTACCACCACCACAGGTGTAGCCGCCACGGATGTGTACGGTACCGGCTTCACCCCGTCACCCACTCCTAGTCAACCACAATTCCCATCGGACGAAGTAACGAGGAAAGAGAAAATGGATGGTCAGTAAATATTGATAAGCTGTTTTTGCTCCACTCGATCTTTCGCGGCTCAAAGACGCGCGCGGTCGCGTCACGTGCAGCACAATGAAAGGGAAGCGTCGCAATCTTCTGCAAGTAGCGACGCGATCGCGCGCGTACCCCAGCCGAGTCTGTCGTTTGAGGATCGATGCAATTGCAGACAAGATCTCGTGTGACAAAGGGACGAAATGGAAGACGTACATGGAAAAGACGTTGGATGGGGGTTCAGAGGGCATGGTGGTTGGTTTTAACGATGCTCTATTTGTTCCAATTTCGGTTCGACTCGTTCCGTACCGTTATTCCAACTTCTTCTATCCAATTCAGAACGAATTCCGTACCATTCGTGGGTTTTTGCCGCCCATGGCCACGCGAATCGCCTTCGATGCTAACCCAGAGAAGAATCGATTCGAAGGTGTGTGAAATCTTCCATAAAAAAATGCTCTAGAAATCGTAGAAGGGCTGAGGCTCAACGCAGTTGTGGCATGGGTTCGTGCGTTACTCGTTAGAGACAAACTGTACACTCACCTCCGTGAATCCGACGCTTGCCGTGTGTGGGAGACTGGGCCTATAACTGCAGTAGCGTACCTTTTTTCCGCTCGAAAGTACACGGGAACGGGGCTGGAGAGCAGCGATACCTACGTGCTGTCTCAGTACTCCGCCCGCGCTACCGTACGGCCAGACACACGCCTGACCAGAGCCGAACGCGCTATTTGTCTGCGCCCTCTCACCTCTGGTAGTTCTCTGACGCTGAGTGCTTTTTCGCTGCGGGACCTTGGTATCGACGCAAGTTCTACAGCTTGAAGTTAGCGCGGGCGGAGATGGAGATGGCACTCGTCCTTCAAAGGTGTGTGTACGATTTGTCTCATTAGAGGGGGCTACTAGGAGATTGAGAGGCAGACTGAACTACCTCACTTATCTTTTGCTTCCCTCACCTCCCTCTCGCCCCTTACCGGGATAGTGAGATAGGTACGTTCGATGGCGGCGATAGTGTGACTTTGCCTTCATCCTCTGGACTACTTTGGTGTCCGACTGAAGAAAATTATTCCGTCCTTTCCCTACAATACAGTGCTTTAGATATTGTGTGCATTGATCAGACTCGAGTTCGACTCGGCTGTGGCTCGTATATTCACGCTAGTTGGGTGAATATTACCGCCAGCAAGAAGGTACGCCCCCTTGTCTTGAAATATGGATGAGTCACTTTTGAGTAGTGCTAGCAACATTTCAGGCAATCCTCACCCAACTTCCGAATCGAGAGAGTGGAGCGGAGTTCTGGCAAATGGTTCTTGACGTCGACGCACAAGCGATTCTCCTTTTGCTCACACATGCCGAATTCAACATGTTCCATGCAAATGGAGTGTTCCCGGCTGAGCAGTGAGTAGTCACGACACTTGACCAGTTGAGGCCTGTTGTTACGAGGGTAGACGCCATATTTCACCCTGTTGGAGGGACGATAGGGTCTTACACGAAAGCGAAGGAGTCGGCGTTTAGGGGTTGGTTCACGTTTACGGTATATGCGCCGCTAGGCCTATCTTTATGCATTCCTCACTAATGCGCCCGACATCCACCTTTTCTATGGTTGTAGGTAGTGCAGCTGCATTTCTCATTCTCAATGGTGACCCTTTTCACAGCGTTGTTACCAGGGTAAGGCACCAGTGAGGAAACTACGACGGTAGATTCGGCTCCGCCCATACGGAATGTCCAGTATGAAGGGAAACCGTATCTTGTAGGATGACTCTGCGGCTTTCTAAAGAAACAAGGACTGCTCACCATTCCCAGTATTGCACAATCTCTATCTCTGCAAATTAGAGGGCATCGAGGAAGGGCGTAGATTGAGCAAAGCCGGGGCGGCCTTTCCACCATTGGATGCTGTCCTGAGCCCACGAAATTGCTGAAAAGGAGGGGTAACTAATGTATACACCCCTTATCCTAGTGGTAGCGGACCAGGTAAAGAAAGGGAAAACGAACATTCCGAGTGAGAAGTCTTGCTGAGAAGGCAACTTTCTTGACAGCAAGGCTCTCGTTGCGTTCGAAAGCAGTTGCTTTATCTGG